GTCGGTGGTCATGGTGTAGAGGGGGTTCGATACATCCTCATATTGTGGAGGAAGTTACAATGTTACAATATTGTATTTCTTCAGTGCGAGTATATTATACGAGGGTGCTACATTCTGATACTATACTAATATTACATTCATACAATGAGCTGTTACCACGTCTTGTTCGTACAATGTTTGGAACGATGAAGACCCCACACAGCCAGCAACATAGGGGGTCATGATTAAAGACAATTGATATGTAAAAAGGGGCGGGCTCTATAAAGATGGAAAGATTGTGATTGTAAATCACACGCTGCTTATCACACCGGCACATCTACAACAATTGTAACACACACTGTGCCCCAATGCTGGCTGTACTCCGTTCAATCTGATTGTACAAACCCCTGCACAATTTTCAAGAGATTTACCAAAATTGGAGAGCCTACATCAGCAATACAATCATGTTGCACTCAGGGAGACATTGTATAGTTGTTGGTGGATAAAGGAGATTATACAATTAAACTGAAACATGTGCAGCCAACTGAACCTGGGGGGTGGAGTCAGCCCTTGTACTCTTATACTGTATGTCCTGAATGCTGCAACAGTGAGATCTTCTTGCCACAATTCCGGACTCGATTCTTGTCCTCCGGGGAGATTTTCCTGTTTCAACTCCTCCTGTTACATTCTACATAATATAAGATAAATGATGGCGATCCGCCCTTAAAATGGGAGGTGAGCACATCCAGGAACTCCGTGTTCTGATTTCATATTGACGTTCTAATCTGCATGTTGCAGGTCACCTGATGTTTTCTTAAAAGGAGCAATGCCAACCCCCATTTTCTCATATTACTGGTTTCCTGTAACCTGCTCACACTGACTACTTATGTTTCCAACCTCTAAATTGTTTGTAATACTTTGAAATGTCCGTCTCTGTGTAATTATTTTTCATGTTATCATTTTAGTGCCCATACCGATTCTCTCCGACTTCGTCTCCCAACCCCCAACATTGGGCAGTAATGGTCCTTCAAGGGACGTCGCAGATCTATATACAGAGAAACCAGATTTTTATGTTTTTGATTTCACTATTTGGGACAATGTGGATTCAGAGTCTTCTTCAGTTCCAACAACGTTCCAGAGCAGAGGAACCTCACCGGTATCTTCTCCAACCCAACCCGTGGAGCCCATATCACCTCCGTCCTCTAGAGGAGAAGAGACAATGTCACCAAGGAGCAATACGTCTGCTGTGGGATCCATTACAAGAAACAATAACATTACATCACCTACCATGACACCAGAGGCCGTCACTCCACCTTCTCCTGGTCCTGGTCCAGAGACTGATTCCACCACACTTCTGGTCACCTCAATGCCATCTCCCACCATGACAATGGAAATGCACCATACATTACTTAGAAGTGACATTTCAGGACCGAACAGTTGTTCGAGGGCAGATCAGTTCTGCACATACCATCTGCGATGCCGATCTCCCCTGGACAGGGAGCCGCAGCAGGGGGGTGAAAGAGCCACATGCGGCTCAGGAGCCGCAGGTTGCTGACCCCTGGTCTTGTTTAACATTGTATCAGAATGAAGCACTTTTACTGTATATATTCATTCACACTGAAAAACTCCAATACTGTAGTTAAAATAATAGAAACACTTCACCTAAAACATAAAAGAGAACGCAATGTCTGGCTAGATTGCAAAAAAAGAATATCATGAATGCATAACATCCCGCTGTACCCCCTATGTATGTAAGTACAGACGCAGTCACTACCATCAAAATGCTAAGCTCCTCCCAACAAATTTCTTCTTAATGGCCATCATCATCATCATCATCATCATCATGGGATAGAGAAGTGATCTTGTCCTTTTCATTAAAGAGCCCCCGGGAGCTCTTAGCCATAATGTGATCACATGTACAGCATAGCAGCATGTTATGGAAGTCTGCCAAAGCGATCACCCCCAGCGTTGTGATGTCCAAGTTCTAACTTCTCCTACCTCGGGCCCTGAGTCTTCGGTTGCTTTATTGCCTGGTACAATTATGTAACACCCGCGCATGTGTACGGGACTTACTGCATCTTAGCAAGACTCTTGCTGAGCCTGTGCACTGGGCTGCGCGTGCGCGGCTCGGCGTACATAAAAAAAAAAAAACTGCTGACTGGCAGGAAGAAGCTTTTCTGGCAGAAATAACATACACAGTATTCTATCACACAGAGCCTGCCGGTCAGCAATTTCTCAAAATAAGACTTTACTTCCACTTTAAATTAGAAACTAGCCCCTCCCACTTCTCTTCCATGGTAAAAAATATCCATTCATGCAAAATAGAATTCTCATCAAAACCATGAATCGGTGGGGTACAATTCCCTCCTAGTGCAGCATACAAATATACAATATTCATTATTACCAACAAAGGAAACATTGTAAAAGGTCATCACTGATCTATTGTCTATGAAGATATTCATTTCCTATTCAATATTTCACCCGTAGGGGGCGTATGTGTACAATTCATGTGTCCATGCCGTTTGATAATTGGGTATCTATCGGGTACTGGGCGCACAAGACGCTCCAGCCTGACTGTTCTGACCTCTTACTCTTTGGGAGGTCAGGCGCTTTTCGCAGCTACATGTCGGTGGTCATGGTGTAGAGGGGGTTCGATACATCCTCATATTGTGGAGGAAGTTACAATGTTACAATATTGTATTTCTTCAGTGCGAGTATATTATACGAGGGTGCTACATTCTGATACTATACTAATATTACATTCATACAATGAGCTGTTACCACGTCTTGTTCGTACAATGTTTGGAACGATGAAGACCCCACACAGCCAGCAACATAGGGGGTCATGATTAAAGACAATTGATATGTAAAAAGGGGCGGGCTCTATAAAGATGGAAAGATTGTGATTGTAAATCACACGCTGCTTATCACACCGGCACATCTACAACAATTGTAACACACACTGTGCCCCAATGCTGGCTGTACTCCGTTCAATCTGATTGTACAAACCCCTGCACAATTTTCAAGAGATTTACCAAAATTGGAGAGCCTACATCAGCAATACAATCATGTTGCACTCAGGGAGACATTGTATAGTTGTTGGTGGATAAAGGAGATTATACAATTAAACTGAAACATGTGCAGCCAACTGAAACCTGGGGGGCGGAGTCAGCCCTTGTACTCTTATACTGTATGTCCTGAATGCTGCAACAGTGAGATCTTCTTGCCACAATTCCGGACTCGATTCTTGTCCTCCGGGGAGATTTTCCTGTTTCAACTCCTCCTGTTACATTCTACATAATATAAGATAAATGATGGCGATCCGCCCTTAAAATGGGAGGTGAGCACATCCAGGAACTCCGTGTTCTGATTTCATATTGACGTTCTAATCTGCATGTTGCAGGTCACCTGATGTTTTCTTAAAAGGAGCAATGCCAACCCCCATTTTCTCATATTACTGGTTTCCTGTAACCTGCTCACACTGACTACTTATGTTTCCAACCTCTAAATTGTTTGTAATACTTTGAAATGTCCGTCTCTGTGTAATTATTTTTCATGTTATCATTTTAGTGCCCATACCGATTCTCTCCGACTTCGTCTCCCAACCCCCAACATTGGGCAGTAATGGTCCTTCAAGGGACGTCGCAGATCTATATACAGAGAAACCAGATTTTTATGTTTTTGATTTCACTATTTGGGACAATGTGGATTCAGAGTCTTCTTCAGTTCCAACAACGTTCCAGAGCAGAGGAACCTCACCGGTATCTTCTCCAACCCAACCCGTGGAGCCCATATCACCTCCGTCCTCTAGAGGAGAAGAGACAATGTCACCAAGGAGCAATACGTCTGCTGTGGGATCCATTACAAGAAACAATAACATTACATCACCTACCATGACACCAGAGGCCGTCACTCCACCTTCTCCTGGTCCTGGTCCAGAGACTGATTCCACCACACTTCTGGTCACCTCAATGCCATCTCCCACCATGACAATGGAAATGCACCATACATTACCCTATAATACCAGAAATATTGTCACCAGCACATCTGGGTACGAGGCCAAAGTTTCATCTGCTGTAACCTATCCTCAAACGTTCTCAGCATCATCAACTGCCACAACTGCACCACCTTACCCACAAACGTACCCAACATCAACAACGGCCACAACTGCACCACCTTACCCACAAACTTACCCAACATCAACAACGACCACAACTGCACCACCTTACCCACAAACTTACACAACATCAACAACGGCCACAACTCCACCAGCTTATCCTCAAACTTACCGAACATCAACAACGGCCACAACTGCACCACCTTACCCACAAACTTACCCAACATCAACAACAGCCACAACTCCACCAGCTTACCCACAAACTTACCCAACATCACCGACTGCCACAACTGCACCAGCTTACCAAAAGACGTACCCAACATCACCGACTGTCACAACGGCACCAACTTACCGACAAACTTACCCAGCCTCATTGAGTGCCACAACTGCACCGACGTTTGTGTCTACCAATGCAGTGTCAGTGGCAGCCACAACAAAAACAGTTATTTCTAATGTGTCAGTTGCCTCATCACTAGGAGCCAAAACTGTGCCAATGTCATCTAGTATTACCAACTCTACATCACCATCTACAGCCCCTGCAACAATGGCGGCTCTAACGAGTCTAACCACATCACTGGGAACCAAAACAACACTATTACCACCTAATATAACCAGCTCACCATCACCATTTGTATCAATGCCACCTAATATTGCCAACTCTACTTCACCAAATACCACACCTGCACCGGTGATGGCATCTACGACTCTGATCCCTTCACTGGGAAACCAAACATCACCCTTGCCATCTAATGTAATTAGCTCAACATCACCAACTATCAGATCTGCACCAATGACTGCTATAACGAGTCCGACAGCATCACCGGGAGCCACAACAACACCATTGCCGTCTACTTTAACCACCTCAACATTACCATTTGTAACAAATCCACCAATGACACCTAATATGACCAACTATACATCACCAGCTACCACGGTTCCACCAATGTCCAATCTGTCTCTTCACACTACAACGGCCAGAACCGAACCAACTTCATTTAATGTCACCAACTCAACATCACCCTCCACCACCACGGCTGTACCAGTTGGCAACACTGCCAAAAATATAACTGATGACACTACGGAAATGCAACCTACAGAGACTTGCCGCTTGGGAAACTATGAGCCGCACTGCAGAGGTAAGAGGAAGAGGCGGAGTCTCTTGATGTACTGTACATGTATGTAATCTGTTCCTTTATATTACATGTTGCACTTCTTTGTTACTACGCTGCTCCATTTATCTTATCTTAGTCCTCGGTGATACATGGTACTTCCGTGTATGAGGGAGCATGTGACCTTCTCCCCTTACTCCTCAAATTGCAGTTACAGGGAAGTCTGGAATGCCGATGAGCCCGGGTCGCCTTTATTACGGATTGGCTTTGATGACCCCAAACCTGGTCCTGGTCCTGGTCCTGATATTAGACATGTGCGATTCGTTTCGTTAAGAACCGAAATTCGTACGAAATCCTGAAATTCGTAAATTCGGAAGCATCCGAAATCCAAATTGCAGTTTCCGAATTATATCTGAAATACGAAATTCCGTTAACGGATTTCGGATCCGAATTTCGTTGAAACGGGAACTAATATCACCCCTGTAAATGAGGTTGAACAACATGACAAGATTTTTTTTTAATCCGAAATACGAAATTCTAGAGCTGCAGCTAACGATTATTTTCAAAATCGGTTAGCCGATTATTAAGTTCGATTAATCGGTTAATCGGATAAACTATAAAATAAAGTTTAAAAAATGGCTCCAGTGATGGGACTACTAGTTTGTATTGAGGTTGTAGTCCATCACAGGAGCAAGCTTGGAGCGGTGGAAGTAAAAAAGAAAAAAAGATAGTGTGGTGTGCAATATAGTGAAATGGAAAGTGTAAAATTATACAGCAATGCATGCAGAATGGCAACGGTTATAGAGGACTACAAAACCCAGCAAAAGCACATTATACAGCACAATGCAGAATACCGCCATACCACGGTTCCACCAATGTCCAATCTGTCTCTTCACACTACAACGGCCAGAACCGAACCAACTTCATTTAATGTCACCAACTCAACATCACCCTCCACCACCACGGCTGTACCAGTTGGCAACACTGCCAAAAATATAACTGATGACACTACGGAAATGCAACCTACAGAGACTTGCCGCTTGGGAAACTATGAGCCGCACTGCAGAGGTAAGAGGAAGAGGCGGAGTCTCTTGATGTACTGTACATGTATGTAATCTGTTCCTTTATATTACATGTTGCACTTCTTTGTTACTACGCTGCTCCATTTATCTTATCTTAGTCCTCGGTGATACATGGTACTTCCGTGTATGAGGGAGCATGTGACCTTCTCCCCTTACTCCTCAAATTGCAGTTACAGGGAAGTCTGGAATGCCGATGAGCCCGGGTCGCCTTTATTACGGATTGGCTTTGATGACCCCAAACCTGGTCCTGGTCCTGGTCCTGATATTAGACATGTGCGATTCGTTTCGTTAAGAACCGAAATTCGTACGAAATCCTGAAATTCGTAAATTCGGAAGCATCCGAAATCCAAATTGCAGTTTCCGAATTATATCTGAAATACGAAATTTTATGTCGATTAGTTGTTGCAGCCCTACGAAATTCAGATCCGCTGCTGCTGAGGGTTTCATTACAATACACAGGCAGGAAATACGAAATTCCGTTTGTTAATATTGGAGTTGATGGTATTTTTTTTTTAAAAATCCGAAATATGAAATTCGGATCCGAAATCCGTTAACGGAATTCGTATTTCGTTTTGGTTGACCAATCAGAGGTTTTCTCTTCTGCTGCTGAGAGTTGCATTACAATACACAGGCAGGAAATACGAAATTCCGTTAACGTATTTTCGTTCCGTTACGAACATTCGTTATGATGAAGTTAAAAAGCAAAAATACCTTTGTTAATATATTGGAGTTGATGGTAGTCTTTTGTTTTTTTTTATCCGAAATACGAAATTCAGATCTGAAAATTTCGTATTTCGGATAAAAAAAAAAAAACTGCCATCGACACCAATATTAACAAAGGTATTTTTGCTTTTTAACTTCATCATAACGAATGTTCGTAAAGTTACGAAAATATGACGAAACTAACGAAAATCCGTATTTCGTACGAATCTGAATTGAGTTTCGGACACGAATTACGAAATACGAAATAACGGATATTCCGAAACGGAACAAATTTTTTGATGGCGCACAAGTCTACTCAGCTCCGTGGAAGGATCGGTGCTGCGTGTGATTAGTACGCAGCCCCCGTCCTTCTCTATGGGAGTACGCCGCCGTACGCCGCCCTACGCTCATCCCAAGTACAGGTCCGTTCAGGTGCGAGTATCCTGGCTCAGACGCAGACAGGACCCATCCTGTCAGCGTACTAGTACGGACACTGGCACCCGAACGGACCTGTACTTGGGATGAGCGTAGGGCGGCGTACGGCGGCGTACTCCCATAGAGAAGGAGAGGGGCTGCGTACTAATCACACGCAGCACCTGTGCTTCCCGGGAGCGGCCCGATACGGCCATTGCACGCAGCACGGAGGAGCTGTACGTGCCGGACGATTCCAGTGTGAATGAGGCCTTATGGTGACGTATTTCCGGTTTTGTAACAACAAAAAACAAAGAATAGAAAGCTGTACAAAGCAAATATTTTGGATGATGGAGTTCACCTTGAAGGGATATTCCGAAACGGAACAAATTTTCTGATGGCGCACAAGTCTACCTGGTATGAGGTGCGGCGATGTATCGGTGTTGTCCTCTCATATGCAGTACAGGAAGCAGATGTTACACAATCCTAACACATGCAGGACCGGATTTACCCTTCCTGCTGCCCCAAGGCCAGTTCCCGCAATGCCCCCCCCCCGCGCTCG